GGGGGAGGAGGAGGATGGAGGAGAAGCGCCTGTGCAGCCGGTGCGCCATAAAAATGCGCACAAAGGACGCACAAATATCCGCATTTCACTGCTTTATTAGATTTGTTTCGTTTTGCCGGGATTCCTCAGGTCAGTGTGTTTTCATGTGTTTCAGCTCAAAGCTTCATTTGACCTGTTAAAAGTTGAAATGAAGCCTGAACGAGGCTTCAGACCTGATGATGGATTCGTTTCTTTAACGAAAATTCTCGTCAATATTCCTTTAATATTCTTCCAACAGCTTTAGGATCGATCCTGGAGGAGATCGATCACTTTTGATTAACAGGTGGATTTCATTCTTTTTCTTTTTTCTTTTTTCAAGGTCTTGAAGTTCGCACGTGACTTAAGCCAGCCCTGTTCATTTATAGGTTTATTAATGGCGCATTAATGGATCCATAACTTCGCTGGATGTCTGTGGCACAAGAACCAATCAATCAGTTTGTTCAGATCTGCATTTGGATCGATGGAAAGCAGATTGTGCAGATGAGCTTTGCACTGCAGATAAATACCACATGTTTGCAAGGTGAAGACAAACAAACCACAACAGGAGCATTTCTGTAGAGAGCTTAAAAAAATAAGTGACTCACCTGTAGGAGCGGACATCCTCCCTTTTTTCCCCCCGTGGATGGATGCGATGGCACAGGCGGAGCAGTGCGCCTCTCTGCGTCCCGCTGATGGAGCAAATGTGGAGGAAGGGTTGAGCCTCGCAGGATCTGGAGCCTTCACACCGACGCTGCTGCTGTGGTTTGAGTTACATGTTCAGGCTGCGCAACTTGTGGACCTGCGTGGACGCCAAAGTGACCGCGCTGGAATCAAAGAGAGACTTTCCATGGATGAATATTTTATGGTGAAGCTGTAACAGAAGCTGCAGCAGCAGCAGCGGCGGCGGTGGCGCACGGGAGGAAGAGGAGGAGGAGGAGGAGGAGGAGGAGGAAGGTTTAAAGCGTCTCACAGTGAAGCAACAGATTCCTGCGAGAAACAGCATCTCCACAGAAGTGAGCCTGCAGAGATGAGGAGCATTTTCAAACCCGCTCCTGCAGCTTTGAGCTCAACTTGTCCTGAAGTGATGAGAAGTTTGAAGCTGCAAAAAGGCTCAAGTTTCACGTTTTTGAGTGAATATCAGAAGTGAACCCTCTGCTTGTCTCTGAGCTTGTCATTGCTCTTAACCATGTGGCACCCCCACCCCCCTGCAGGCGCCCAGCCATCCCCCCACCCCTCTCCCTTGTTGATAGAGATCAATACTCCACCTCCCCCACCCAGCACCCTCTTTAGCCTCCATTCAAAACACTTTCCCCTTTAATTTCCAAACCTATAAACCCAGAAACGTTTCCATCCTGAAGCTAATTGTTGTTCATTATCCTCTTCATCAAACCTTCCTCACTGATCTGACATCTGCTCCTCATGCACTCACCTCTCCTGCAAGTGGCCACAACTGACCCTGGATCAGCTGATATAGGAACTGAGGGTAGAGTTAAAACACAGCAGACAGAAAGATGCTTTAGCTTTGAGAGGAGCCAACATGGCAGCTGTGTTTCCAGAAGACATGCAATCACACACAGAGGCAGCAAAGTTTGTGGTTCAGTGTAAACATGAATAATGATAATATATATATATATATATATATAACAGGGTCTTTGTCTTAAAGGGACCAATCACAAATCACATACAGCAACCCTGCAGCCCACCCTGAGGAAAAGACCCCCATGAGACCTGGATGGGTTTTAGGCCTCAAGCTTTTTCAGAAAACTTTAAGAAAACTTTTAAAAATATATTTAATAAATATATATTTAATAAATGTTCTGTAAATGCAATTCACTATAACCAGTCAACTCAAGATGATATTTACCCCAATAAATAAATACATAATCCGTAAAAGTAATAATAATTTTAAAAAGTAATAATAATAACAATAATGTGAATAATGATGATAATTATTAAAAAAGACGAGAAGAAAGATCCTGTTTGTCGTAGAGATTGAAATATTTCGTTAATTTAGGAGTAAACACAGAGAGTAAATACTCTGGCCTCAGCATGTGAGTGGTTTTCCAAGTTTCATTTTTTAAAAGAAAAGTTCGATGTAGTTGAATATTTGCTGTTCTCATCTTCTCAGGTTCAAAATTCATCCACAGGAGACAAATCAATCATCTCAAAACCATTAGAACCGCGACGTGTCGTTGGGAAATATTTAATTTGTCGCTCCTCCGCTGAGGAATATAGTCCCTCACATAGTCCCTCCGCAGTGGCACGGGAGGCGGTTTCCGGTCGGCGCATTAATATTTCAGCACGGCCACAGGTGTGTGCTCATTGGATATTTTTGAGCGTCTTCAAACGTGTCAGCCAATCAGAGGCCAGGAGCAGGAAAACACGAACATGTCTGAATCTCACGTGTGAACAAACTTCTGTTGTTACTTATAACTTCGAATCTCTCACGTTATTTAAGACAATCTATAATCTATAACATATAATCAACAACATATAACATGTGATCTATAACATGTAATCAATAACATGTAATCTATAACATGTAATCAATAACATGTAATCTATGATAAACAAAATGACGTCAGCTCCAGTGAAGATAAAATAATTTTTGTTATATATATATTTGGTTTATAATTCGGAGCAGATCATCAGACTCATCAGTCTCTCTCTCTCTCTCTCTCTCTCTCTCTCTCTCTCTCTCTGCCTGCTGCAGGGCTGCACAGCGCCGCCTGGTGGTTCACTAGACTCTCACGCACACGTGCACACACGCTTGGACGCAGGCCCATGGGAAATGATTTACGTTTGATTGCAAGATGAGTAAATTTGCTCAGCTTCTCTTGTTTCTGTCAACTCTGACTAATTTTTAATTTCCACTCATTTCAGTTAAGTTCTCAGAAATGTGAATTGAATCCCAGATGAAATACTGTGGTTGAAATATACGATGATTTAAAAGGAAAATAATCTGAACATTAACTTTTAGAATGAGCTTGTTTAACTATTCATTTCTTTAAGGTACCTAAAGCTGCACTGACTCAGCCTGAAAGTTATTTCAGTCAAAGACTAAAGTTAGACCAATGGAGCAGAAAGTTAAAGAACACAGTTTAGTTTTAAAATATGAACGTGTTGCGTAAGAAAATGTTATTTCTTAGTTTCTAAATTAAAACTGTGCTCTGGATTTAATTGATATAATTGATAGGAGCTGTGTTTCATGTTTGTGTGTCTGTCTTCAGATGTCAGAACTTCTTGTTCTCTGTGAGAAACATTCAAAGTTCCGACAACTCCCTCTCCTGCACTGTGTTCTGTCACCAAGTTGGTTTTAACAGAACATTTTACAAGTACATCAAGTTGAGTTTTGTGGAATACAAGACTCTTCTTTTTAATTTCATCAGAAACTTTAAATCCAAAATATCTGTTTAAAATGAATATTTCAGATCCAGGTGTTTGGAGAACGTATTGTTTTCATGTCCTGATCAAAATATCCTCTAAAAAATGAGATGAGCATATTTTCTAGGACTAACTTAAGAGATCTATTTTCCTAGTTTAAATTTAAAAGTTATCATCATCATGATTTCTATCTTGTTTTTCAATGTTTTATTTCTTACTTGAAGAAATTGGCAGATTGTTTCACTTCCTCTCAAAGTTAAAATTCAAACTAAGGAAGTGAGGTGTTGACAAGAAGAAGAATTCTAAAGAGTTTTTGTTTCCTTGATTCATAACAAAGCCTCTGATACAAAGTCAAATCATTTCATCCATCCAGCTCAGAACATTTTATCCAACTAAACTCTTTAAGCTTGTCCTGTGATGTCAAGGCCAAATTGTATTTTGTCAAATGTCTCCAAGTGGTTGAAATGTTGGATTTGAACAAAATGTTTAATTTAAAGGACAGAAATGAGAATGAAAACCTGTCATTTGAAGACACTTCACTAAAACCTGCTCTTCTCAACTCATACATTTTTTAAACTGCAGAAAAATGTCTATTCCTCATTCATGCAGGAAAATAAAACAGGAAGTTGTATATTTCTAACTGATAAATATCCAGTGTGTGTGGCTGAAGCACTTTCTTCTTCATTTCTTTCTTTGTGAATTTATATCACAAGTTAAATATAATATTCTTCCCAGAAGTTTTTCCTCTATAAACAGGGGAGTGGAACATCAGTGAGGTTCTTCAACACAAAACATGTATGTTGAGTAACCCACATGGGGCCCATTGTCAGACCACCCTCACTTTCTGCTCCTGCTGCACGTGTTGCTCAGTGTCACAGCGACTGCCCCCTGGTGGACGACTGGACACCTATATCACAAAAACACCAGCAGCTACACATGCTCCTGCTGGCACTTCCTTTTCTTCTCTACTAACAGAACTCATCGCAGAATAAAAATGAAAAAATATATTAAATCGAAAATTAAATTATTATTTTTCAATTTGCAACTAAACAAAACGAGAAATTAGATTATCTTCTGATAAATATAGATCGAACATGACCATTAATTTATACTTCAGCTATTCATATTTTTCTGAAAAGAATAAAACGGACAGGGACAAACTCACTGTTTAAAAAGTTGATTTATTGTAGCTGTGGCATTGTGTCCTGTTCCCTTTCGAAGGTAAACAATCAGCACATGTCAAGAGGTAGAAATCATCATCAGCCTGAAAGAAAAGTGGGGCCTGACATTTGAACACACACTCACAACATCTCATATTCACACACATGCACACACACGTTTTATTTTTGTGTAAGTTCCCACACACACACAACCACAGCAATACTGTCAGCTATGGCAGTTTTCTCATTTGCCATCCCGTGCAAGAACCAAAATAAATAATATGCATCACGTTGGAGCAGAAACAATCAAACTCAAACAAACGTTTGCCACTTGAACCTCAGGACTGTAACGGCTGATTGCTGTAACCGTGAAGGGGGTGCTCCATTTAATCACCCCCCACTGAAACTGTAGTGTTTTAAAACGACTACAAATATGGCCTAGTGGACAAAAGATATGGTGAAGAACGATGGCTGGGTAAACATATGCTGTAAAGTGAGTAGTTTTCCAAAAGAGGAATTAAGAGTAACAAAGAAAAACGATCACTAGTTATTTGACCCAGGAGATGTTGAGACAGCGAGCGATGAAGGCGTAGGTGTCAGCCACCTCCTGGATGACCTTGCTGGTGGGTTTTCCGGCGCCGTGGCCCGACTTTGTGTCCACGAGGATGAACAGGGGGTTCTTCTGCTTGGAGCTGCGGCCGACGATGTGCTGCAGGGTGGCGATGTATTTGAGAGAGTGGAGCGGCACCACCCGGTCGTCGTGGTCACCTGTGAGCAGGAGCACTGCGGGGTACTGGACCCCATTGCCTTCTGGGATGCGGATGTTATGGAGAGGGGAGTATCTGCGGCACAGAAGGAGAGGACGGTTAGAGTGCTTGATAAATTCTTCATCCAGCATTTGAATTAACAACACACTGTTTGTAAACGTTTGTTCGGGGAGCACCTACTTGATGAGCCAATCAAACTGCTTTTTTTCCTCTGAACAGCCGAAGTCTGTGGTCCAGGCGTGTCCGATGGTGAACTTGTGGAATTTCAGCATGTCCATGACGCCGACCTGAGCTACAGCGCAGCCAAACAGCTCAGGCCTCTGGTTCACGCAGGCAGCTGAGAGAGGAAGCAGGCAGATACGTCAGCGACCGATCACCGCGCACTCAAAGCTGCTGGAGCTGGTTTACATGTGAATGTTGATCTTCAGCCAGCGGCAGCATACTTACCGACGAGCAGACCCCCGTTGGAGCCTCCGTTTATAGTGAGTTTGGACGGAGAGGTGTATCCCTCCTTGATGAGATACTCCGCTGCACACTGGAAGTCTGTGAAGCAGTTCTGCTTGTTGGCCAACATGCCAGCTGGAAGAGAGAAACACACAGTGGAAGTATGTCAATGAGGTTTGTGCTGCAAGAATGGCTGATCCTCGACTACCAGCAGAGAATTGTACATTTCAGTATAAATGTACAGATTCATCCTGTATCACTGAATTCCTCGTGTTTATACAATTACACGGTTCAACTCTTCTGGACGTACATCAGCGTGTCACATGTTCACGCTCACCTTTGTGCCAGGTCTCCCCATACTCTCCTCCTCCTCTGATGTTGGCAACAGCGAGGACTCCCCCGAGATGTCTGACGAAGATGAGGCGGGAGACGCTGTAGCTCGGTGTGATGGAGATGTTGAAGCCCCCATAGCCGTACAGAAAACCTGGATGGGAACCGTCCAGCTTGATGCCCTTCTTGTGAACGATGAACATGGGGATTTGAGTGCCGTCCTTGGAGGGATAGAAGATCTGGAAAAACATGGACAGGCTGTCAGGAAGCGTTCAAGGACAACAAAGCTTTATCTTGGATCTTCTGTCCTTGAGTCAGAAGAGAGGAGAGTAGAAAAGAGGCACAATAACGGCCTGTCCTCGGTGCCTGCTGTTTTTTTTCACATTTACAATGTTATTCACTGTCCTCAGCAGGGATAAGACAATAAATCTGAAGCTGAGAAGCTGTATTATAGGCTCAACTGCTTTCATTTAA